GAACACACTTGCTTTTTAAAATCTGGGATTGATCGAAAAATGGTATAATAATATCAATTCAAATTGTTTAGTGGGGTGATAGGACGACTACAAAGTTAAGATATATTTTTGAAAATTCGGAACAACTTCAGTGGTGATTTTATGTCTTTTCTTATTTTTTTTAATTAGACCTAATTATGAGATCATCATTTATAATCAACTTTATTTTTCAAAAAAATCCACCATTGTTATTTATCTCTTCTCCAATAATTATTTTACTTTCCTTGTATTGCTTACATTTCTATAAGGAAATGTAGAAATCAATGTAGTAGTTATGAAATTTCAAAGGTAAGTTTCATTGCGAATTAATAAATGCAAAAATGTGAAAAGTCGTTATATTTAACGGCATTTACCATACGGGTTATTATGTTATACAGTTACCTCATATTTGGACATATAGATATAAGAAACATGGCAAATGATGGAGAACCCAATGTACTAATTGTATAAAATTGGTTGGTTTCTTCTTTATTGAAAAATAAAACGTTATTTTCTTTCTTTAATTAGACCTAATTATGAGACGATCATTATTTAATTAATTATTAATCAACTTTATTTTTCAAATTCACCATTTAAGATATTCTTCACCATTACTATTTGTCTCTTCTCCTAAAATTCGTTTACTTTCCTTGTATTGCTTACGTTTCTATAAGGAAAGGTAGAAATCAATGTAGTAGTTATGAAATTTCAAAGGTACGTTTCATTGCAAATTAATAAATGCAAAAATGTGAAAATTCATTATATTTAATGGCATTTTTACCATCCGTGTTATTATGTTTTGCAGTTACATCAATTATATTTAATGGTAAGAAAATCTATCTTCTTTTATTTATTTATGCATTTTCAAAAGGAAATTATTAAAATACATGAGTGTTTACGAAATGTGAATCCTGAATTATGATTTTATATTTTGCAAGAAGAAGTGTTCTCAAATCTATTTTCTTTTATATGAATATTTTTAAAGGTGGGATTATCTATTTTCATTTATATGAATTGATGGTAAAAATATCTATCTTCTTTTATTCATGCATCTTTCGAAAGGAATTTATTAAAAGACATAGTGTTTATGAAATGTGAACCCTGAATTATGATTCTATTTTTTATTGGAGGAAGTGTTACTTGAAGTCTCAAATCTATTTTCTTTTATTTGAATTAATGGTAAGAATATCTATCTTCTTTTATTTATGCATTTTCCAAACGAAATTTTTATTAAAAGGTATGAGTGTTTACGAAATGTGAACTCTGAATTATGATTTTATATTTTGCAGGAGAGAGTGTTACTTGGAGTTTCAACCTAAAAAGGTTTCTAAAAAACTCACACATTCCAAAAGAAGTGAGAATATCTATTTTCTTTTCTATATACATTTTTCAAAAATAGCAAATTAAAAGACGCGACTATCTATACAATGTGAACTATAAACTATAATTTATACTTTGTAGGAGGAAGTGTTATTTGGAATCTAAACGTAGAAGACACATTTTGAAAGTCAATAACAAAAAAAAGATTACTCAAAAATTCACACATACCAAAAGAAGTAAAAATATTTACTTTCTTTTCTATATACATTTTTCAAAAGTAACATATTAAAAGAAGTAAGTATCTATAAAATGTGAACCGTAAACTATAGTTTTATATTTTTTTAGGAACAAATGTAAATTTAAGTTCTAAGAATACGTTTTAGAAGCCAATAAACAAGAAAATGATGCTAAAAATTCACATAGGAAAAGAGGTTGTTCTTCAATGGATATGATCATTCTGAGAAAACTTAGTAGGCATTTGACCACTTTCATTGTATAATTTTTAAAAAATAATTGTTATTTTCGAAATGAAAAATAATATATGAAATTGGAGTTTTGTAATGCAAATTCTAATTATTTTTACTTTTTGTCAACAATTTGAAGTGAAAACACATTTTTATTATTTTTCAAATTTTTGAAAATTCTGAGTTGAATTTTAAAACTTCGTAGTCAAAATGTATTTTTCAAAGTTAAAATTCAGTAATAATAATAATAATAATCAAACGCCCCCCTTAGTAACTTATGATTGGATAGGCATGAGAGATGACTTTGCAAAGAAATGAGAAAATATATTAATTTTTTAAAATTATTTCTTACCATATTAATATACTTCAATTATTTTTCTACCAAAAATTTAGTTTCTTATTGTGTGTTGCTTTTCTGTTTCTTTTTTAAATTTAAATCATGAAAACTTAAATGGTAGAATGGTCAAGATGAAGGTCTAATGATAAATTGAGTTTTCACAATTCAATGATATTTGATGAAATTTTGCTCAATACCATTATTATTTTCCTTATTGCAACTGTCATGCTTCGAGCCTACACCCTGGGTGGGACTGGCACTCGAGAACCATTGTTGGTCCAAAGCGAGCTCTTGGTCTGACTTACTACTAAGCGGAAGACTTAAACACAAGAAAATAGTCTCAAATAATGAACTCATGAAATAAACTTAGAATGTCTTAAAAGAAACATTCAACTAGCCAAGATGGCAACTCAAGTCTCAAAACATAAGCGAATAACAAAATAGTGAAAAATGAACTAACTAACTGTCTATATATGAAGCCTCTAAAACTGGGAGGGATGTCGGAAAAAGACCCCTGATCATTCTAACAACTGAAAACTACTAAAGCAATGTAAATAGGGATCCTTCGGAAAGAAAGAAGGCTCACCACAAGAATCTAAATGCTCAACTGGATCAACGAAGCGTTGAATGCTGATCCTGGTTACCTGTATCTGCATCATAACAACAATGCATGCCAAATGGTGTCAATACATTGAATATATGAGCATGCGAGGGGAATACTAAAACAAGACATAAGTTTGAAAGGAACTGAAAGAACAAACGTGGTCTCAACTGAACTGAACTAAACTGAACTCATTTCAATATAAAGCAATAATATAAATGCAATATAAAGAAAAAACTTTTAAAACATGGATATCAATTCTGTGTATTTAGAAATACAATAGTAACTTTGTATGTATGCAAAGATACAATATAAACTCTGGATGTATATAAAAATACAAAATACTTCTATGTATATAATAATACAAAATATTTTTGTGGGAGTTCTCCAACCGACAACCATCATATAAGAACCATTGTGATGATACATCATTTTGCCTCACGCTGCCAGGGTTGTCCTATACCGTAACGAGGGTATAGAATCTGACTACTAAGTGGATCCACTAGTCAATGCTAAAAAGCACTAAGGAATCATCTAAAAAGTATGACCCTTTTCTACCTATGATGGCTACATGATTTATGGGGGCTGAAAGTTGTCTGAACCCTCCCCCATATCGGTGCTCAATACTACTCCAAAAATATAATTCTAGCTCTTACGTTTAAAAACATAACTTCTTTCTGTGGTTTGAGATAATTGCTCAAAACTTAGCTCAAAGGCTCTTCTTGGAAATCAAAGTTTCCTCTCTTGCTTAATTATGAAAGCATTTACTCTTTAATGAAAAACTAGCTCAAAGGCTCTTTTGGTAATCAAAGTTTCCTCTCTGGTTTAAATGTGAAAACATTTTACCCTTTGGGAAAACATAGTCACCATATACTCTTTTGAAGAAATGAACTTCAATCCTTACTCTTTACTTAACTCAAAACTCAAATCTTAAAACAAAGTTAAAACGTTTGTAAAAGACTTTTGGAAAACTCTATGAACTTCTCTTTACTTGACTCTTAACTTTCCTTGAATGGAATTATGGATTCAAGGCTCATGATCTCCTGTTATGGATGATTTCATGTTATTTTGATGTACCTTAGAGTGTAGAAATCAACAAGAAAACATAGGTACGTTTCAACAGAACTAGTACGGAAAGAAGTGGGAAAGGGTAGAGAACCTGACGTCCTTGGCGCAGGGCCCAGAGCTGAAATTACAAAACTGGGGTTGGGGTGCGTGGCTGGCGTGGCACCCCAGAGCCCACACTACAGAACACAAAGTGGGGCGCTCTGGCTGGCGCGACAGCCCACCTCTTTCCCCAGAATTTCTCTGATTTTTCTTGCTCGTTTTTCAACTCTAAATCCTCTAGATTCACTTGGTTCTTTCCCCAAACACTCAGATTCGACTACATAATCAATATATGCAAGAATCTACTCAAGAACGACATCTAATTTCATGAATCTAAATTAAGAATTCCTCAACAACTTCAACAATTAAGAACCCAATAGAAACTTCAAACAATTCCATCAAGAACTCAATTTCTTTACTTTCAAGAACACAATTTCGCTTAATAAAATCATGATTGGCGCGTGTGTGAACTAACCCAACGCTATGTGATTTCTCATACCTCATAGGGATCACCCCTTGGCGAAATCCACAAGCAACTCTTCAAGAACTTGGCTATTCCTTGCTTCTTCTTCTCTTTTCTCTTCTCTCAAAACCCTAACTTAATTTCAATAGCGTAAACTGAATCCTATCAGTTGAGACCCCAACTTAATTACAAAAAATGAATTTAATTAATTGGGTAGTGAAAAGACCATAATACCCTTCTAAAATCCGGTTGACTTTCCTTATCTAGACAACCCAACTTCAAATGGGCATATCTCCCTCATACGAACTCGAAACTGAACAATCTAGGTAGCGTTGGAAATATAATTCAAATATATTTCCTACGGTATCTTGTAGCACATCTAACACATCTTGAGCTAGGAGTTATGGTCTTTGAAGTTGACTCAAAACTCATACTTAACTTAACTTTGTCAAACTTTCCAATTTAATTATTTCCAAAAACTATTTATTTCTAATTATAAGTCTTTCTAGTAGCGGGGTGTTACAATATCTTTCCCTTGGGAACATTCATCTTCGAATGAGATTAATCGTAGCAGGTTAAGGGCGTAACATCTAACATCTGGCTCAAACACCCAACAAGCAAAATGTAAAACAGCATGCCAACTTAAAAATAAATGGCAAGAAAAAGATTAGTACCTTAATTTGGAACTTCTCCGGATTCGAAGAGATGTGGGTATCTCTTCTTCATATCCTCTTCTTCTTCCCAAGTAGCTTCCTCAACAAACTGATTTCTCCAAAGAACTTTGACTGATGCTACTTCTTTAGTTCTCAACTTGCGAACTTGGCAGTCTAGAATATGAACAGGAATCTCCTTATAAGGTAAGTTATCCTTGATACCAATATCTTCCGTTGGTATAATCAATGAAGGATCTCCCATGCACTTCTTCAACATGAAAATATGAAATACCGGATGGACCGCTGCTAACTCCTGTGGTAGCTCTAACTCATAAGCTACATTACCAATCCTTTTGGATATTCCATAAGAGCCAATATACTGGGGACTAAGTTTCCTCTTTTTACCAAACCTTATAACACCCTTCATGGGTGAAACCTTCAAGTAAACCCAATCATCTACTTCAAACTCTAAGTCTCTTCTCCTAACATCTATATAGGATTTTTGACGACTCTGTGTTGTTTTGAACCTCTCTTGAATAACTTTCACCTTCTCCATAGCTTGATGAACTAAGTTTGGTCCTATAAACCCAGCTTCACCAACTTCAAACCATCCAATAGGAGATCTGCATCTTCTCCCATAAAGAGCTTTATAAGGAGCCATCTGGATACTACAATGGTAACTATTGTTGTAAGCAAACTCAATGAGAGGTAGGTGATTATCCCAATTACCCTTAAAATCAATCACGCATTCCCTCAACATATCTTCTAAAGTCTGAATAGTGCTCTCTGCTTGACCATCTGTCTGAGGATGAAGATCAGTGCTTAAGTTCACCTTTGAACCCAAGCCTTTCTGGAATGACTTCAAAAACTGTGCAGTAAATTGCGCACCTCTGTCTGAAATAATCGAAACTGGCACCCCATGAATTCTAACTACCTCTAGAAGATACAACTTGGCATAGTCCTTTGCTGAATGAGTAGTCTTTACCAGTAAAAAGTCGGCCGATTTTTTCATTCTATCAACAATCACCCAAATAGAATCATGCTGCCTGCGAGACCGTGGCAACCCAGTAATGAAATCCATATTGATCATCTCCCATTTCCATTTTGGAAGTTTTATATTCTGAACCATACCATCGGGCCTTTGGTGCACTACTTTAACTTGTTGACAGTTCGGACATTTAGCAACAAACTCAACAATACCTTTCTTCATACTATTCCACCAATATACTTCTCTCAAGTCACGATACATCTTTGTGGAACCCGGATGGATAAAATATCTGGAGCTATGAGCTTCCTCCATGATCCTCTCTTGGAGTTCATCCACCCTTGGTACACACAACCTACCTTGATACCTCAATACACCATCTCCCCCTTGTTCAAAAGCCATTATTTTTTGCTTATAAACATTTGCCTTCAATTCAAGCAAAATGGGATCTTGGTCTTGCTTTTCTTTTACTTCTGACACTAATGATAATTCTGCCCCATTCATCACCACTACCCCTCCTTCTGTTGAATCCATTAGGTGAACTCTCAATCGTGTAAGCCTATGCACATCTTTTACTAGTTCTTTCTTTTGTTCCTCAACATGGGCAGTACTACCCATAGACAACCTACTCAAGGCATCAACAACAACATTAGCCTTACCTGGGTGATATAGGATACTCATATCATAATCCTTGAGTAACTCTAACCACCTCCTCTATCTGAGATTAAGCTCTTTCTAACTAAACACATACTGAAGACTCTTGTGATCGGTGAACACATCTACATGAACACCATAAATATAATGACGCCATATTTTCAAAGCAAAAACTACGATAGCCAACTCTAGGTCATGGGTTTGGTAATTCTTCTTGTGAACATTCAATTGTCTGGCGACATAAGTTATAACTTTGCCATTCTACATTCACACACAACCCAAACCAACTCTGGACGCATCGCAATATACAACAAAGCCTTGCGTACCTTCTAGTAAGGTCAATACTGGGGCAGTAGTCAACCTATTTTCAATTCCTGAAAGTATTTCTCATAAGCTTCAGACCATTGCAATTTCACTGTTTTCTGATTCAACTTGGTCAAAGGGGACGAAATAGATGAGAACCTCTCTACGAACCTTCTATAATAGCTAGCCAACCCCAAGAAACTCCTAATATCAACTGGAGATGTGGGTCTAGGCCAATTCTACACTACCTCTATTTTCTGAGTGTCAACTCTAATTCCATCACCGGAAACAATGTGGCCTAAGAATACCACAGACTCAAGCCAAAACCCACACTTAGAGAACTTGGCATACAACTCTCTATCCTTTAGAGTTTGGAGAACTACTCTGAGATGACTAGCACGATCTTCTTCATTCCTTGAATAGATTAATATATCATCAATGAATACGATAACAAACATATCTAAATAAGGCTTGAATACTCTATTCATAAGGTCCATGAACGCTATAGGCACATTAGTTAAACCGAACGACATGAACAGAAATTCATAATGACTATAACGGGTCCTGAAAGCTGTCTTTGGAATATCAAATTCCCTTACTCTTAACTGATGGTAGCCAGATCTGAGGTCTATCTTAGAGAAACAAGTGGCACCCTGAAGTTGATAAAAAATATCATCAATTCTCGAAAGATGATACTTATTCTTGTTGGTAACCTTGTTCAACTGACGGTAATCTATACACATCCTAAGAGAACCATTCTTCTTCCTCACAAATAAGACCGGAGCTCCCCAGGTGAGACACTTGGCCGAATAAAACCTTTCTCTAGGAGATCTTTCAACTGCTCTTCTAACTCTTTTAACTCTGCTGGTGCCATCCTATATGGTGGAATAGATATAGGACAAGTATCAGGAATAATATCTATACCGAAGTCTATTTCTCTCTCAGGAGGGACTCTGAAAAGATCATCTGGAAAGACTTCTGAAAATTCTTTTACTACTAAAACTGACTGAATAAGAGGTATCTCAACACTAGAGTTATTAACTCATACTAAATGATAGACACACCCTTTGGAAACTAACTTTCTTGCCTTAAGGTACGAAATAACACGACCCTTAGGCACTGCTGAACTACTTTTCCACTCTATAACTGGCTCAGTAGGAAACTGGAACTTGACAACTTGAGTTCTACAATCAACTGAGGCATAACATACATGAAGCCAGTCCATACCAAGAATAACATCAAAATCTACCATGTCTAACTTAACTAAATCAGCTATGGTGCTCTTGTGATTGACAGAAACAGTACAATCACGATATACTCTCTCTGCTAGAATAGACTCACCAACAGGTGTAGAAATACTAAAGGGCTCACTAAGTTTTTTAGGAAGAAAATCAAAAGTCATCGCAATATACAGAGTTACAAAGGATAAACTTGCTCCTGGATCTAGCAAAGCATAAACATCAAAGTTAATGACTTGGATCATACCAGTGACAACATCTGGAGAATCCTCTTTCTTTTGCGAACTAGTGATAGCATAAAGACGGTTTCCTCCATCGCCTACCCCTGAAGTAGCTCCTATAGATGCAGCTCTATCTAATAGAGCAATTGAAGAAGACTGGGCTCTATTGCCCCCATTATCGTTACCCTACTTGTTCTTTGGCCACTCTCTCATAAAATGACCGTTCTGGCGATACTTGAAGTAACCAGTGGAGCCATCACGACACATCCCTGAGTGGTTCCTACCACACTTAACACATACATGAGGCTTACTACCCCATTGTTCCATACTACCCTGAGAATAGGCAGATTTAGCTCTGAAATTTTGACTATTGTACTTACATTTGTTTGTTAGTGCATGTGCACTAGCTGATGATGAAGTAGGTCCCTTTTGTTTTTGTTGGAAGGAAGACCGGTTCACATTACTCTTTTGCTGTCCGGACTCATTCCCTAATGTATTAACCCTCTTATTCTTAAACTCTTCTCTATTCATCAGCTTGTCCTCCTCAACTTGTTGCACATGGATCATTAACCTTGCTTTGTCCATATCCCCTATTAGCATAGCTGCCTTGCCTTCCTTGATTGACAGGCGAGACAACCTAGCAACGAATAAACTCATCATGCTCTTCATGTCACAACCATCTCCGGGGCATAGCGGGAAGGTTGTGTGAACTTCAGACTGTACTCATGAGCGCTCAAAGAATCCTGCTTAAGAATGAGGAACTCTCGTACCTTTGCTTCTCTCAATTCTCGGGGGAAGAACGCCCCAAAAAGGCCTCCTCAAAACAAGTCCAACTCACAGGTCATGCTCCCTCATCTCGGTTCTTCTTCTATTGATCAAACCATATTCTAGCGACACCCTTCATTTGGTATGCAACTAGTTCCACCCTCTCAGTATCAGCAACATGCATGATCTCAAAAACCTTCTGAAGCTCTTCAACAAAATTTTATGGATCCTCAGTAACACTTGAACCTGTGAAGCTTGATGGATTCATCCTTAAGAACTCACGAATCCTTGAAGTGTCAGCCACTTCCTGTCGATTCCTTCTCTGTTGCCCAGCTTGGTTAGTCACAACTTGGCTCAACATCTGGATAACTTCATGAAATTCGGCTTTGGTGACCTCTCCTTGGGGTTGCACTTCTGGTGCATTAGGTACCCCTTGTTCCTGTGGTTCAACATTTCTTCTAGCAAGACGACCTCTGACAGCTCTTCGTGGAGACATGATCTGAAAGAGACGCGCAAGCACGAGTTAGAAAGAACTTTTTAGAGATAAACTATATCACACGAAATGAGTATGAAAGAAATGGAATAATTCCTAATTGTCGCAACCTCCTAATTATAGATGTGGCGCGTTTCACACCGATAACTAGGACTCTACTGACACGACTTCATAGACTCACACTCTTGAACTCTATGCTCTGATACCAAGTTTGTCACGCCCCGAGCCTACACCCTGGGCGGGACTGGCACTCAAGAACCATTGCTGGCCCCAAGCCAACCCTTGGCCTGGCTTACTACTCAGCGAAAGACTTAAACACAAGAAAATAGTCTCAATTAATGAACTCATGAAATAAACTTAGAATGTCTTAAAAGAAACATTCAACTTGCCAAGATGGAAACTCAAGTCTCAAAACATAAGCTAATAATAAAATAGTGACAAATGAACTATCTATCTATGAAGCCTCTAAAACTGGGAGGGATGTCGGGATAAGACCCCCGATCATCCTAACGGCTGAAAACTATTAAAGCAATGTAAATAGGGATCCTCCGAAAAGCAAGAAGGCTCACCACGAGACTCTGAATGCTCAATTGGATCAGCGAAGCGCTGGATGCTGATCCTGGTTACCTGTATCTGCATCATAACAACGATGCATGCCAAATGGCGTCAGTACATTGAATGTACGAGCATGCGAGGGGAATACTAAAACAAGACATAGGCTTGAAAAGAACTGAAAGAGCAAACTTGGTCTCAACTGAACTGAGCTGAACTAAACTTATTTCAATATAAAGCAATAATATAAATGCAATATAAAGAAAAGCTTTTAAAACATTGTGTATATAATAATACAAAATACTTCTGTAGGAGTTTCTCTAACCGATAACTATCACATAAGAGCTATTGTGATGATATAACGTTTTGCCTCACGCTGCCAGGGCCGTCCTATACCTTGTCGAGGGTATAAAACCTGACTACTATGGGAATCTACTAGTCTATGCTAAAAACCACTAAGGAATCATCTAAAAAGTATGACCCTTTTCTACCCATGATGGCTACATGGTTTATGGGGGATGGGAATTGTCTGAACTCTCCCTCATATCGGTGCTCAATACTACTCCCAAAATATAATACTAGCTCTTATGTTTAAAAACATAACTTATTTCTGTGGTTTGAGATAATTGCTCAAAACTTAGCTCAAATGCTCTTCTTGGAAATCAAAATTTCCTGTTTTGCTTAATTGTGAAAGCATTTACTCTTTACTAAAAAACTAGCTCAAAGGCTCTTTTGGAAATCAAAGCTTCCTCTCTTGTTTAAACGTGAAAACATTTTACCCTTTGGAAATACATAGTCCCCATATAATCTTTTGAAGAAATGAACTTCAATCCTTACTCTTTACTCAACTCAAAACTCAAGTCTTAAAACAAAGTTAAAACGTTTGTAAAAGACTTTTGGAAAACTCTATGAACTTCTCCTGACTAAACTCTTAACTTTCCTTGAATGAAATTATGGATTCAAGGCTCATGATATCATGTTATGGATGATTCCATGTTGTTTAGACGTATCTTAGAGTTTGGGAATCAACTAGAAAGCATAGGTACGTTTCAAGGGAACTAGTACAGAAAGAAGTGGGAAAGGGTAGAAAACCTGGCGTCCATGGCGCTCTGAGTGGCACGGGGCGCCAGAACTGAAATTACAGAACTGGGGTTGGGGTGCAGTGGCTGGCGTGGC